GCTTGTGGTCTCAATATCTGGGTAAGAAAGACGAATCGCGGGGTTACGAATGGTGATGCGGCGAAGGGACAGGAAGCGAAGAAGGAAGAGGAGGAGTTTCAGCGTATCAACATGGGCGCGAAGAATACAGCAGCCATGCAGCCTGGAGAGAGAATCATTATACATACACCCGGTGGTGGTGGCTGGGGGAAGAAGGGCGAGCAGAGTCAGTTAGTAGACAAAGTGGACCCGAGGGGCGCGTGGAAGGGTGGGAGTATCGCGGGACGACAGAGTACAGCGGAGGCCAGTGTGTGAAAGAAGGTGATGTATAGTGTGTAAGCTTACATCGTAAGAAGAATTCAACATCGTTATTGTGTATGCTAGGAACAGTAAATCAGCTAGTACGTTTTTCTGAAACAGGTTGTGGGAGTTTCGTTGGAGATCGAAATCTTACTTAGCTGGCGTGATCTGCTGACCAGAAAGCAGCTATCATCCCAGCCATGCTCATTCTCCCTATTACAACCCACGCAGCAACAAGATTTTACAATACAATCACGGATAGCCCTAATGCCCTGGAGAAATTCACCGCACCCACACTTACACCCGTGGCTGACTCCTATACTCTCCAGTCTTTCTCAGATTATGATGCTTCGACAGATCCTTTGCAGCCAGATCCTTTGCAGCCGCTTGGCTTAACGCCAGGCGTTCCGAACTCTATCAACAATCCTCAATAGAGAGGCTGTACATATCGTAAATGATAGTTTCATAACACTAATAAAGACGAAACTTTCAACCGTAGCCAATCTCCAAGCCTCCATCACCTTTCAGCCCATCGCCAAGGATATAGTCTCTCACACTCTCAGAACAGAAGGAAATCCACAAGATGTCGATATATCACGGGCCCATCTTGCCTGGATATTCGAAAATAGGAATGGACCGATGTTGCAGACGATACGAGAGTTCACGCAGCAGCAGATAGCGGATATACAGGACCTTGTTCCATCGAAATTCTACGACGCTAAGTATTTGTACATGAATGATGCCGGTGAGGAATTGCTCATGTTTTACAGCTATCCTGATGCGAAATTCAGGAGGATGAAGGCTATACATAACAAATATCATCCTCCTGGGGTGTACACACACTTGTTGTCTAAAGGGTGGAAGACTGCTGATGCGTGATGGGAAATTTGGTGCACATGTGTTAAGTATCTTAGTACTTCAAGGCATGATCTTCATGAAAGCATGATCATTTCATAGCCTTAACAAGATAATCCACTCTAGCACGCTGTAAAAAGCTAGATTGAAGAGAGATTTACCAAAATTTAAGCGCCTAAGGCTGGCCTTTCGACATATTCGGTAGCCATTTCATACACCATTTCGCCTTCGAACCACGTATTTGTAATCTTTGCATTTGCAAAGTCTCCCTTTGTCAAATCCCTATCCACGGCAATAAAATTGGCCTTCTTTCCCACGCTAATGGAACCAGATACCTATACGCAAAGAGGTCAGAACACTTTACCAAGCACATGTTTTAAAGGGGTGATACAACATACCTTGTCTTTGCCCACTGACGTTGCTCCGTTGATTGTCAGCATTTCCAGTAGGCTCTCCGCGCCAATGATGTCAACGAGGTGTGCGATTGAAGGTAACAGGGGTAGGAACATGCCAAAAGCCCAATCACTGCCGATGGTCATGCGGGTATTTTTTGCTTTGAAGCCGGGGAAATCGTAGACGATTTGGTCTTTGACGTAATCGAACCCGTTGGCGAAGAACATGGCAGGAGACATTTCGGCTGTAACATTGAGGTCCTTGAATCTTCCAAGGTCGTCTGGGCGATAATTTTAGTACCAAATCTTTGTTTCGCAAGAAGCCTGAATATCCCATACCTTTGTGAACCATGCAAGAGTGCGCGACCTCATGGATCGGTCCATTGGGGTTTTGCTTCCTTGCTGCAGCAACGGCATCGAGAGCGAGCCGTGCACCTCCCTCACCCATGGCATGTACCTTACACGTCATGCCTCTCTGATCACATCGAGACAAGAGCTCTGGGAGATCAGGCTGGAGAATGTTAGCCATATCTGGTTTGCCGTCTTTATCCAACCCGGCCTGCTGCAGCACCGCGGGTCCTCCAGGCCCGCCGTCCATCATAAACTTGACAAAACGGGTGTTGACATGCTTGCTGAGGTAGCGTTCTGCGCTCTTGATCAGCTCCTCGGGATCGGCCAATATCTCGCCTGAGAGCCATTCGTTCTTATACAAGATGTGAGTGGAGTAATCCACTTTGAGCTGCCCATCGATGTCAAGTTCGTTGAGTACTTTGAGCATTACAGAGTTTGTTGCGGCTTCCTGGCATGAGGTTACACCGTTGCGATGTAATTCTTTCATCGCACGCTTGAGAGCCTTCTTGAGGTGAGGGATTGATGGTTTTGGAATGGCCATACTGGCGCGTCCCAGTGCTGCTTGACCTCCAATAGTACCAGTTAAGCTGCCGTCTGGTCTACGTTGGTATATCGAGCTCGGGGCATCTGGCTCGTTTTGTACATCGAATCCCGCCTTTTCAAGTGCGGCTGTGTTGAGATATTTCATATGGCCTCCGTATGCATGAATAAACACTGGCCTATCTGGCCATTCTTCGTCTAAGATGGAGCGGTCGTAGTTCTCGATTTCGAGCAAGACACCTATGATCCAGTCCGAAGGACCCGCGTGGTGAGAGCAGCCGCCACAGCCATTTTTCAATTTAGCCACCATCTGGTCGCCGGTGTTGGTAGTAGCAAGGTCCATGAGTATATCGCCGACGAGGTGGAGCCCTGAAACGAACGAGTGCACATGGCTGTCGTGAATTCCTGGCATAATGAATGTGCCGCCCAAGTCGCGGATCACCAAGCCCTGGGCTTGCGCGTTGGCCTTGATCTCTTCACTGCTTCCTACGGCGGCAAATACGCCTTGGGGAGACACGACAAAACCACCAGCTCTTGGTTGGGCTTTATCAACGGTATATATGTTACCATTGACGTAGGCAATGCTGCCCTCTGGATATGCGGATGCCGCCATGGTAATTAATCGATCAGAGTGGTCCGTGTGTTGCAAATGAGAGTGGTACAAAGTCGAATGTACAATTAAGACTGTCTTTGTGACTTTCTGATGGGGATATATATATACACGAGTCAAGGAGCACTGGACATGGCATCGTCCACGGTATGCAGTAGCAATGTCTCCTTCCGAAACTTCCCACCGATTTGGCCGCGATAACATAAACAGGCCGGAAGGCGGGGTAAGAAGACCACGTGTGCGATAGGGGAGGGGGCTCTTCATTGATCAAAAGGAAGAGGCCTGCGTCTTTTGCGTGTTGTTTACTCATCTACGCCATTCACGTCCCGGCGATGGGCGATGGTGTTGCCGTTCCTGGCAACCATTACCCGACCAGGCTTCACTCGCGACGTTGGTACACACCTTTGATCAGTAAACCACTTCTCACGACTGATATTAGCATCCACAACGACCCAGACTTTATGCAATGTACCTAGAGGCTCATCAGACCACATGCTGCTTCATGGCAAGATCTGGGTACGCAGAATCTCCTATCACGTAAAGAGGGGGGAGAAAGGCGGAGTGCCGCCAATCACCGTACCGTTATGTTTCGTCCATGAAGCGGGATGCTAGTCACGTCCTTGGAGCACGGTGATGGCAAGTGGATTTCAACTGTAGGGTACCATAGGTAGTTAGAAGCCACGGTTTGAATAATCACTCAACGAGACATGGACTCTTAGCTATCTACCAATGGATATACTACACCGCACGTGCTCTCCCGTATGTCGTGCATAGTTATTCACCGACTCCGCGTATGTTGCGGTGGTTGACGAGGTTACTAATGTCCGACTCCGCAAAGATCAAGCAATGGAACGGGCTGTTGATTGCCGACTCTGCCTGCCGCCATAACCTGATTCGGCCCGTTTCTGTGCGCTACAATCTCCACTGGTACAGGTTATTTGTCTCCGATTTCGAGTTGCAGACTGAGATACTCAAAAGCGAGCGGTACCGGTAAGATTCATATTTGCTGGGCCCTTGGTCAGAAAGTTATTCGAGGTAGAATCATCGTGCTCCACCATGTTCACATCTATTAATCAGCTTGTCTTGATGGATCTAGTTCTTTCATGCCGCCCGGCACGGATTTGCAACTTACCCGGCATGGACAGTGTTGTTAAGAAGTCAGATTTCCTGCAACGAAGGCTGCAAACAATCATCGAGCTTCGCATATCCCTCACTGCATTCTCAAATCTTCTATCATGGCTTCCAAAACACTCAAACTCGCAGCAGTGCAAGCGTCACCAGTCTTCATGGACCTCACAGGTTCCACTAAGAAAGCTTGCGACTTGATCCGACAGGCTGGCGCGGAGGGTGCCGATGTCATTGGATTCCCCGAGTCATTCATCCCCGGCTACCCTGGCTGGAACCCATTTCTGAGCGACCATAACCCACTCAAGACCGAGCTTTATCTCAGAATGTTCAATAATTCCATGGTGGTGCCTGGGCCGGAAGTGGAAGCGTTGCAGGCTGCCTGCAAAGAGGGCAATATCAATGCTGTTGTAGGCCTTACCGAACGCCATGCCCACTCAAACGCGACACTGTACAATACCCAACTGTTCATCGGCCGCGACGGAACCCTTCTTCAAAAGCACCAGAAATTGGTAGCTACGGTTGGAGAGCGGCTGATTCACGCACCCGGTACTACGGGAACCGCTACGGCTGCACAGACGGATTTCGGTGGACTGAGCGGGCTTATCTGTGGGGAGAATATGAATCCGCTCGCGCAATGGTCTTCCTCACTTAGCTATCCCGTTGTGCATGTGGCGTCCTGGCCTGCATTCATGACTATTGGCTACGAGCTGGATAATATCATCAATGCCGCAGGGGGCGCGCTTTCGTTCTCTATAGGTTCTTTCTTGATTGCCTCCGTCGCCATTGTGGGCGACGACGAGATTGAGGCATACGGTCAGGAACCCGAGCTCCGAGCCTGGCTCAAGGGCGAGCAGAAGAGACACAGGGCTAGGATCTTTGGCCCTGGAGCACAATTGCTTGCACAGGGGTCTGACGATGTTGATGAGGAGCTTGTGTATGCCACTGTTGACCCTGAGCATCTCAAGGCATTCAAGCAGATCTTTGATTGGGCGGGTCATTATCAACGACCTGAGCTCTTTGCGCCTTTGTTCAAGAAACACATTGATTACATGAACGGGGAAAGAAAGGGGACGTCTTGAGTTTCATACTCTTCAACATCCCAGCTGCATGTATCTCAGCCACAGTGAAACCAGAATGCAAATTACCACATTTTAGATGCCCAATCCAAGACATGTATTATGGCTTGCGACGTGCAACTTCGCTATAATCTCATCACCGTGTCGTTTAGAAGTGATGACTAGGACTATTGATGACAAGTCGCAGCGACGGAGGCTACAGGTAGGTAATGGAGCTGTGCCAAGCTGTATATCTCAGATCCCACATGTACATCAAAGGCCACACACTACGTCGTCTTCTTTTCTGCGTATGTAAAGGACGGGGAATAGTCCAAGTACTAAGTTGCAGGATGTCTCGCTTGACACTGAGTCTCAAGCAGATCTGTTTCTGCACGGGAAGTCTAATCTACTTTGCTTTGTGTTGTATGATCATAGTTATCCATCAGACGTTTGGCCCCTTTCTACCAGGACACAAAACACGATAATCCCATACCGGTAGCTGCCGGCCTCTACCAATTTTCTACCGGCTCAAGGTATGAGACGGGTATCATGATCCACTGACAGCGAGTGTCCGTTCCGCAGCCCCGGATATTTCATCGGCGCGGCCCGACTTATACAAGTGCAACAGTGATGAGAGTTGGGATGTCGTGAGGCTTCTGCCATTGGGTCGATTTGTGAATCCACATTGCTCTCTCTCAGTGCAATACGGCCGAGGGCGGCCGTTGATGACAGAGAACAATGGTACTATCCTCAAGCTCACTTCACCAACAACCAATTTAGTTTATACATGCTTCAGACTCCTTGCAAGCCGTACCGTACACTGACCTACTCAACTGCTCAACTGCACATGGCCATCAGCTCACGCCCCAGGATACGCCAAGGGTTGGCGTTGCCCCTTGTCGGCGTCCAGAGACAACGTCGAATTAGTGCCCAACCGGCAATGACGTCTACAGGCGTCGGCTAACGCGCGCTGTTCACTTGCTGAACTTGCGGTCAGCAAATGCCATGTCCGCCATGATGGCTGCGCGACATTTCAAGCAATCACCGGCCTTTTCTATCCTGCACGGCCGATCTCCAGAAACACCCTGTACCGGTACTGCTCGAAACACAGTTGCGTCATCCTCCTCTACGTCCAAGGGCCGGCGGGGCTTTTGCTGCCATGGAGCGTTCACCTTGCGTTCACCAACGGTTCTACTTTGACAGGTGAACTCTCCCAAGGAAAACTAGCAATTCTGGTCACGCTTTTCTGCCTATCCACTTCCATTGTACTTTCGCAGGCGCAAACGTGTTGCCTCCATTCCTCTTTGAAGCGTATCGAGTCTGCGATCAGTCTTTTGCAGTTGGCTTGCTGTGAGCGCGTGCTCACGTACACACCGTGAAGATGAATTACGCATCATGGATTGAGGAGAAGAAGCTCAAGGTAAAGAGCGCAACCCTCATGGTCTCCCTCTAGATACGCGACTAATCGATGGTCAAGCAAACCTTCATCATGGCCACACTAGCTTCAACCCTCGTCGGCACTTTTACGGCCTCCATGGGCCTCTGGGAACGAGTGCATGACCGACGCCAAGCGCACAAGCAGAAGATTCGCGACACAAAACAGGACAGCGAGATCAAGCAACTGCGCGACCAATTCGAGAGAGCGCAGCACGAAGCAGACGGACGTCAACAGGAGATTGACAGACTGAAGAACGGGGGCGGCCGCGATGACCCTGGGAGGAACTTTGAGAGAGACGGCATGATGATTCAACGCATGTATGACGAGGCCTATGGAAGAATGGGGAACCGATTTGCACAGGGCGATGGTATGTTGTGCCTGATTTTCTGCAGAGTGCGAGCAGCTTGTACTCGTGTACTGACTGTATCCTTCCAGCCATTGTCGAGAACCAACTCCAGGCACAGATCATTTCTCTCCAACAAACCGTCATCAACGTCCTCCAAGACGCCCTCTACAACGACCGGCAACTCACCCATGCCGACATGTCAAAACTAGTCGCCGCTTCGAATTTCGCGCGGGACGAATCCCTAGAAGCGATGAGACAAGCCCAACAACGACTCGGATCCAACCACGGCTCCATCCGCTCCTCTTCCCCCCCACACTCCCTCGCCTTACCCCCCAAGCGCACATCAACCGTCCTCGTCAACGGCCCAGACCACCTCTTCTGCCGCTACAGCCTCGAACTCCAATACCTCCCCAACAAGCCCCTCGCGTCGACCTTTGCCCCCGCCGGATCCTGCCAATGCCCCGCCTGCGGCCTCCGCCTCGACGTCACAGCCGAAGACTTCTGGATGATCGGCAAGCGCACGCCCATGACCATCCTCGACCAGGGCTACGAGACGGAAATCACAGAGACGCGCGAGTTTCGCCTCGGGCAGCGATTCGTGCTCAAGTGCCACACGCCCGAGGGCGAGTATGCGTGCACGATTTGCAATAAGCACCGCGACGTGGATGCGATTTGTCGGACGGTCGAGAGCTTGGTTAAGCATGTGGGGACGTTTCATGGGGTCGAGGAGTTGGAGGCGGAAGGGGATCTGAGGGAGGTCAAGGTAGATACAAGAAGGCTGAGTTTGCCGGCGCCCCGGGCACACAGTCCGTCGACGTTTAGGGCGAGGGAACTGGTGGACGAGTATCGGTAGAAGGGTAGGGTATACTTTGTTTCTGGCACGAGGGGGGGGTGGGATTTTGAATGTCGATTGTAATCACGGGCGGGAGTTTCATTGTAAGGCGCTAGGTGGTGCGGTGTCTTCAAGATACATGATGAAGATGTACGAAT